CAGTCCGAGTCCGGGGAGGCAATAAGAAGTACCGTGCCTTGAGGCTAGACGTGGGGAACTTCTCCTGGGGCTCTGAGTGTGAGTGAGGCCCTCCAGGAGTGGGTGGGAACTCCACACCTAAAATTTTCTAAGCTTCAGTAAGTGCTTTTAGCAGAAGTCTGTGGCCTCCACCAAGATACTGAAGTTTCTCTTTGAAAGCTGTTAAGTTTGTGATAGCTGGAGAATTCTCTCCATCCTGTTTTGTCTCAACTATAGCTTCAGGGATTGGGACTGAATCTAGACACTATGTGTGGTTGCCAGTTATCTCTGGAAAGGTGGCTTTGTGGAAGATGAGCTGACACCCCATAGCTGGGTAACAGACTAGAGTTCCCTTGCTGTTTCTTAGGCACTTCGGGGGGAAGATGTGGTGGTAGGGGACAACAAGGCCATTTGACTTCTGGTCTGTAAGACTTGATTCTGAAATTCTCCCGTGAGCAGGTTGTACACGAAAAACAAGGATTATTGATGTTGTCTACAACGCATCCAACAACGAACTGGTCCGCACCAAGACCCTGGTGAAGAACTGTATTGTGCTCATTGACAGCACACCGTACCGACAGTGGTACGAGTCCCACTATGCACTGCCCCTGGGCCGCAAGAAGGGGGCCAAGCTGGTGCGTGTTTTGGGGGAGCCACCTTCACTGGGGGGGGTGAGGGGAGGCCAGCCTCATTCCAGCCTTCTTATGATGAAAACTGTGTCCAGTTCTGCTACTGAAGGGAAAGAGATGAAAGCTTTTAGTGCTGAGGAAGGCAGCAGGGATTGGGATGTACAGGGCCCAAGGCTGTGGGGACATTCCTTCCCTGAGCCAGGGCCTGGGGAGCCCCAGCTAACCCATCTATCTCCTTTATTCAGACGCCTGAGGAGGAAGAGATTTTAAACAAAAAACGATCAAAGAAAATTCAGAAGAAATATGATGAAAGGAAAAAGAATGCCAAAATCAGCAGTCTTCTGGAGGAGCAATTCCAGCAGGGCAAGCTTCTTGGTAAGATGGCTGTTGCATTGGGGGGTTGGGTCACAAGATACAGTGTGCCCTCTGCATTTTATTCTTGCCCCTTGTTCTTTTAACTGCCTGCCAGCTGTGTGGTAGAGGCTTCACTAGGAGAGTCGATGACCGCATACAAGCACAACTCAGAACATGTGGTCATCCCATTAGCCTGAAGCTGAAATGGGAAATAGGGGGCAGGAGTCCATAGGCCTCAGCTTGGCCTCTGCCTCTAACTTCCAGAAGTATTTTGAGAAGTCTATGTGTGGGCTGAGGGGGCTGTCTCGGTGATGAAAACTTTGTCCAGTTCTGCTACTGACTTAGAGTGACGATAAAGTGTATCTGAGGAGACACTGGGCTTCAAGCCTGCCCCCAGGATACCTGAACCAACATGGACTTCCTTAAGGAGACACCTAGGTTTGGGTAGGGCCCCACTCTTATTTTGCTAATGAATGCATACTATCTTGCAGCGTGCATTGCTTCAAGACCAGGCCAATGTGGCCGAGCAGATGGCTACGTGCTAGAGGGCAAGGAGCTAGAGTTCTATCTGAGGAAAATCAAAGCCCGGAAAGGCAAATAAATCTTCCTATCTTCGGTCATGTAATAAAGGTGTTTATTGTCCTGTCCTGTGTTCATGTGTGAATATCCAGTTGCTCGGCACGCTCTCACTGAAGGCCAGTCTTAGATATGGGCTGTGCCTTTATATAGCTGAGGGAACATTTCTCACCCCAAAGGCTAGTGTTCAGTGGGAACCAGGGATGTGGCATGCAGGGCAAGCATAGACTGTATGAGGAGTTATCCCAGCACTGGGCCCCCAATATTACTGGGGTATTGATTGGAACCTGAAGCCATGTTGCCTCTGTGAATTTGGCTCTTCTGAGAGATCCTGTACCCTCTTCCTGTGTGAACCTTGGCTTTAAGGTTTTAGCTTGAAGTTTTCAGCCTGGGTTCATGGATGGCCTAAAAACCCTGAAATTGGGTTCCAAATTTTTTTGGTATTGTTGATAGCAAGTTGTACACACTTACGTATCCTGTCAGCTTTTGGATGTCTTTTTGAAGTTAATTTTCTCTTCAACCCTAATCCCTTCCCCCCTCACTACTTAAGTGTGCGAGATAACCAGTGATTTCTGCATTGCTAAATCTGCAAGGGTCAGCTCTTTGTCTTCAGGTTGGCTACATTGTCTGCTCTTGGTATGAAATGTAGTTTGTGCTGCATTTTTTTTAACTTTAACCCAAACCTACTTAACACCTGCACTTGGATATCATAATTGGACTCTCAAAGGTGAACATGTGAAAAACTGGTAACATTCCTCAGCTTTCCCTTTTCAAGTAGTTTCTCAGCTATTTGATTATAGCAAATTGTTGCCTTTATACAGCTGCTTAAATCAAAATCTTGGGTCATTCTGCCCTTAGACTCTAGCATCTAAAGTCCCCAAATCTTGTTGGTTCAACCTTTAACACCACCTCTACCTCCCGACCACTCTTGCAAATAGCACTGAAGGTTTCTGTTGTCCCCGACAGTCCTAGCAATAGTGATCAATGGGGTTTTGACGAGACAGCTTCCCATCTCAGAAGCCTTACCAAACACCCAAACACTGGAACTCAACGTGACCTGGTCCCTTTTTCTACAGTGCTAATCATCCTGGCCTTACTGTGCACATGTTCGCTTGCTAGTTCATTTGTTGGGAACATTTTCCTTCACATACCCACATGGCTTACTCTTTTTTTTTTTTCTTAAAGATTTTATTTATTAAAGAATGAGAGCACAAGAGGGAAGAGGGTCAGAGGGAGAAGCAGACTCCCTGCTGAGCAGGGAGCCCGATGCGGGACTCGATCCCGGGACTC